CAAAAAATGATGATGCGCATATGAATTATATGACAAAATATTTAACCTTACTGAGCGAGACAGACAAACACACAATTGATGGGCTTATTGTTGATTTCAAAGCTGCTCGGAAATCGATGGGTGGGCCCGTGCCTATAAACATGGTCTCTCCATTAGATATCAGCATGCTGGAACCCTATGATCGACTAGTTCTCTATTGCGCTCTGAAGCTCCGGTCAGAACCCGTAGATGACGTCAAGTGGTATACTATATCGCACTACTTGCTACGTTACGGATTTAATCGCATTGGAGTGACATTAATATTGCGTACTGCTAAGTACAAGAACGTGAAACACTTTTATGATTTATACGACAAGACCATGTGTTCAATGAAGACAACAGAGATTCTGAGTGTAAAGCCCTTAGACGCCGAAACTGATGTCTTGTCCCGTAAAGCATGGATGTTCGCAACCAGAGCCAGAGTTAGTAAAAAAATTATGGCTATCGACTGGGACGATTTTCTTCCCGTTTGGATCCACTCGAATAAAGATTGGAGTGAGTTGAAAACAATCCTTGACATAACTTTTGTACCTGCGAGTAGAGTGACCGCAATTTGCAATCGCTTTAACGAAAAAAAACATCCGCAGCTGAGAGGACAAAGCTCTTCACATAAGAAGTAACTTGCTCTAAAGGTCAGCTATTACATAATGCATTAGTTCGATTACTCATATGTTAACGTTGCTTCAAGGAATTTTAACGATAAATGTATCTGAGCTTTTTCGTAAAATATTTGTCATATAAAATGCTCCCAAGAGCACTGCTTGCGTCACGAACTCTCATACAACTTTTTATTTCATCTCACGTAAAAATTCACTTGCGAATGCGGTTCGAACATTAGCATAACCAGGCCTAGTCGTAAAATATTACTCCGAGTACTGTTCGAAAATTAGCATAACAGTACATACGATACTGTGTGTTCACAGCTGATGATTAACTCAAAGACATTGTGATAGCTACAAATCATTTTACGATTTTTTACGCAAAAAGCTATGAATTGATGGCGAAACCGAAAGTGAAAAGATTATTATGGGGTAATTATTGCTGTTGAGAAGATCGTAAAAAACAAAGTGAATATCTTTCGGTCCTCAGTTCGCTACTCTGTGCTATCTCTAAACCTTTTTTACTAGATCCTTCGGAAGGTTCTTAATGTAATCTTATTTATCTGGACAATTGAACGACTACCATGATGTCCGTAATCAGCATCCGTAGTCAAGATAGTAATTGTAAACATGATCGTAATTATCGTGACGCCATCCGCATGCACTCAGCGGTGTAAACTTAACACTTCCACTCACCGCTAAGGTTGAGTGTGCTTGATTGACTGATGCGATCGTAATTAGGCGTCTATCGCTTGTCGCCAATGTTCGGCTTCGTCACTGGCCATCGCCTGCCCATACGTTGTAGGCAAGTCCGATTCTTCACCAACACTTACAGCGTAAGCGAGAACAGCTTTAGCTATAAGGCCGTCTTCATCAGTCCTTGCACGCATGATGATGGTCCCTCACCTTCTTCCAAACTTTCTTCGGCATCTGATCGTTGTCCAATAACAACTTTGGTTTGCATGTACGCCTTGAACGTTCAACTTGAGGTTGAGTTACCAGTCGATTTTCCTGTGCATCAGTGTAGGAGTTCTGTATTCAGTCAGTTCAGAGCGTACTGATGGCGGTAATTGAAGAACCTCAACCCTTGATTCACTTTTGTCGGGCTCTTCCTCATCCAATGAGGCATTTGGAATCTCTTCTTCTTCTTCACACTCCATAGACTCATCTTGATCTTGTTGGTATTTTGTCGGCCCGAACACTACGCTTTCATCGTTTGTCTCAATCACACGTATCAATTCTTTTTGTTTGGGCGGGTGCATCTCATAAATGCCGCCTACTTCACGCTCGTTCAGCTTCGTCGACCGTGATACTGATACCTCGTCTTTCTCCAGGTCGTAAACTCGGTATACCTTGGTGTCTTTGGCATAACAAGGAAAGTTGCACTTAAAGCGTTTGGCTTCGAGATTCCTTCTCTTCACTTGATCAACGTGAGCATAACCATGAGGGCTAAACACCAAAAGGTGATCCATCCAAGGCTTTATCATATATTTCAGCTCATATGGGGTACACTCATATGGTGCTGCACTGTATTGGAGAGCGGTTGATTAG